TTTGCATATAAAGTTTGTAATTGTTTTTCCAATCTCTTTGAAGAATATCATTGGAATCTGGATTGGGATTGCATTATATTCCATTAATATTTTAGGATACTCTTTTACAATACATTTTCAAGGAATCTCCCTCTTTAGCTCCATTCTCTGCCTCTCTCCCTTTTCTCTTCCGGTTGCATAGTATGTGCTGTTTTGTAATCCGATTACTCCCCCCACCCCCATTAATGTAGCACACGCACTTCCTCGCATTCTATTCTCCTAAAGTGTGGTCTTTAATGACTGCATGGTATTCTGTTCTCTGGAAGATCTATAATTATTCATCTTTGTACTACTGACAACACATTGCCACAATACATCTTTGTTGAATTGAACAGAAGTCAAGACTTAAGAGAAGACTTTAGGAAAGTGGCCTTCATAAACTCTTGTTCATTGCACTGCAGGTGTTCATGGAACAGTAAATATGCAAATTGTTATAGATTATTTGGTGATTGTGGGGATGAGGATTAAGGAGAAATACCATTTTTAAAAGCACACTATTTGCAAGACTGTGTTGGCAGTACAGCCAGAGGCTGCTTGAAATGAACTTGGGTGGGGATGGCTCCCAGGGAAGCCAGCCTGAGGCAGCTCTGAAAGACAGACAAACCCTTCAGCCCCCATCCCCTACATCTGGACAGATAGGCCCATCCAGGCTTCTTGTGCTCTATGCCTCTACTGCCCCCAAGAGCACCCATTCACCTCGGTGATAGCTTTGATCCATCTCTTCTTGTCCTCTTGAGTTCACAGAGATCAAGTGGGAAAGCATGGTATCTGGGATCCGACACCCCCTGATTTTAAATCCGTTTCACCACTTGTTATCTGTATGACCTTTCACAAGTAAACTCTCTGGAGCTCAGTTACTTAGCTGTAAAATGGGAATCATAACAACTACCTGACACAATCCCTTTCTTCACACCCAGACCTCTTAAAACCATTTGTTACACCTGCTGCCTCTCTTTTCCTGCCTCTCCCTCCTTTTGTCTGGTTCTGGCCTCACTGAACAGCTCTTGCTGACACCACCAATGCCATCCCTGTTGCTATAGCCAATGAACGTTTTTCAGTTCTCCATTCGCTCTTCTTTTCATTCTTATTTTTTAATGTAGTCAATACGTATCTGAAACAGATCATTTGCCATATGAAATTATTCACATGCACAGTTCAGTGACAGTTATGTGCTGTTGATTTCTGTTGAGCCATCTCTGACTCATGGTGACCCCTTGTGTATCAGAGTAGAATTTGTTATGCCCAGAATTCGGGGTCCCCAAAGACCACCAAGGAGCCAACACCGATGCAAGTGCACAAGGGTTGTTAATTCAGGCTCGAGCTTGGACTCCACCTGCATCCGATGCAGCAGATTAGGGATAGAGCCCCGAACCCTTTGTCTGCGGGGTTTTTTATAGATTTTTCAAACAAGCTTGGGTTTCTCAGCTTTACAATTTTTGGATTGGTTAACAACTGGCAAACTATGAGATGTTACAGTTTAATTGGTCAGGACTGGTGGTCTTTGTTCTTAGGCTAGGGCAAAGGAAAACATCTGGCATCTGGCCTTGAGCTGCCTGGCTATTTGTACATATATCATTTTCTTGGAGCTAGAGGACGTGCTAAAGCTTATATACAAAATGGATTCTTCTCTTTGGTCCTACAAACTCTGCTCCATATGGTTTTAAGGCTTGTCTTCTGAGGGGCCTCTGGGTAGGTTCCAACCATCAATCTGTCAGCTGTTAGTTGATCATTTAACCATCTGCATCATCCGGAAACTCTGCTGTTCAAACATTAATATTATCGGTGCTCAAATTTTCCCATCACCTTTGGATAAAGTGGGTTTACTTTCTTCCTCAGCAGCATGGGGCATTGTTGATGTCTCCCTCTTTTTTGCTTGAAATACTTTTACCTCAGCTATGTGTCAACATGCTCCTGGATTTCTCCCTCTGTTTCAGGCCACTTTCTTTATGTTTCCTTTACAGATTCAGTTCACTGGCCTTAGTTCCAGGCTTTCTTCTTGCATCTTCTCACTCTATACTCTTCTAGTAATCTCTAATACTTAACATGCCTAAAGGTAAATTCTTGATTTTCGCCCTAAAGCCAGTTCCTCTCGCAGTCCATTTTAATCTCAGTGAAGGAGTCTTCATTCTCCCAGTTCTCAGTCCTTGGTGATTCCTCTCTTGCTCTCAATTTGTATAACCACTTCCTCCGTAAACCCCGCTTGCTTTACCTCCAAAATACAGCACACATTTGCCAACGTCTCACCACCTCTACCTTTTGTGTCTTGGTCTCAACCTCTTAATTCATCTCTCTGCTTCTCCCCATTTCCCTCTACAATCTGTTCTGAACCCAGCAACCAGAGTGATACTTTTAAAATGCAAGTTGGATGATGTTACTTTTCTGCTCAGAACTTTCCAATGGCTCTCATTTCATTCAGACTAAAAGCGGGAGTCCTTATAAGGGTCTACAAAGTCCTACAGGATCTGCTCCCACTTCTGGACATTACTTGCTGGCCTCATCTTGTACTAATTACTCTTTCCCTCACTTCGCTTCGGACACACTGGTCTCTTAGTGTTCTTCCACCATCCCACCTCAGGTCGTTTGTACTTGCAGTTCCTTCTACCTAGAACACTTTTCACTAAGATAGCCACATGGCTTGCTTCTTCATTTATTTTGAATCTCTACTCAAACGGTACCTTGTTGTTATTGTTGCTAAGTGCCATTGAGTTGATTCTGACCCATAGCAACCCTGTATAGGTAGGTTTTTCCCAAGGAGCAGCTGATGAACTTGAACCTCCAACCTTGCGCTTCAGACAGACCTTGCAGTCCAGCACATTAACCCACAGACGATTTTATGTAAAAATAGCAATTCCCAACTCTGGATACACTTAACTTGGGTACTTCCTATCCTCCATACATAAGTATCCCACAAATTAATGATTCTAGCCCAAACCTTTTCTCTGAAGGAAAGATCAAGTGAACCCTTCTTAAGCATATAAATTAAGAAAATAACAAGGTTCTCTAGACAAAAATATTTATTTACTTGTTTATTCTTTGTTTTTCTCCATGAGATTATAAATTCCATTGAGGGTGGGGATTTTATTTTGTCCACAAAGTGCTTAGAATGAATGAATCTTCTCTTTGCCGAACTTCAATGACCACCTATAACAAATGACTCACATTTTTTGTTCTGAAGTCTGCTTAACAGCTGTTCTTGGGTATGAAAGGTTGGCGGTCAAGCTCACCAGCTGCTCCTCGGAAACCTTATACAGGGTTGCTATGGGTTGGAAACAACTCAATGGCACTTAACAACAACAACAACACACTCAACATGTGCAAAATTGAATTCATAATCTTCCTTTCTAAACCTGGGCCTTTTTTCTTGTTCCTTTTATTAATAATCACCACCATCAATTAACAAATATTTACAAAGTATCAATTATGTGCTAGGACTGGGGAGAGAGCAGTGAGCTAAACAGACAGACCCTGGCCACACAGAATTCACATCCTAGAGAACCATTTGTTCCCTGGGACAAGTTAACTTGGCTCCTTGTCCTCATTAATGCCCCATAGCCAGTCCAGCACCAAGTCCTAAATATTGTTTAATTGATTACCTTCCTTCCTCATCACTCTGGTTAGGTCCTTGTCACCTCTTGTCTGAACAATGACAATAGTCTCCTAACTGGACCAGCACTCACTCTCCCCTCACCAATCCATTCTCCACACTGTATATATGATTGTTCCCCCACCTCGTCCCCTTCCTCACTCCTGGTGTGGCACTGTAGGATCAGCACTGGACAATGAATCACAAGATTGCAGTTCAAACCCATCAGCCACTCCTTGGAAACCCTATACAAAGTTGCTATGTGTCAGAACTGACTCAACAGCACTTACAACAACAACAATAACCCCCTGGTTGGAAACCCTTCAGTGATGTTCCACTGCTCCCTCACTCTCTCAACTCTGGCCACAAAGGCCTATTTTCCATTCCTTGTACTTACCATGCCCTTCCTGACTTGGGTCTCTTCCTGGAAATCTTTCTCTTCTAGACCTACTTTTCCCGTGCTCATTCATCACACTTCAGTCTATCTTCTTCAGGGAAGGCTTTCCTCATCTCAGGTTTGACTTTTTTGTTATTTTAATGTGTCAAGTGGAGTCTCTGATAGTGCAAATAATTAACAACCTTTCTGCGTGAAGCTGTAGGATAAGCACTCGACTTCAAGGTCAGTTTGAACCACAAGGTTGGAGTTTCAAACTCACCAGTGGCTCATCGGAAACCCTATACAGAGTTGTTACAAGTTGGGGCCGACTCAAAGGCACTTAACAACAACAACAACAACTATTAATATAGCTCTAGTAGAACCAGACATCGCTTCTTTCCTGCCCTTCCCACAGTGGCAAAGTGATGTTTATGTGTAAGATTATTGATTACTACCCCGCCCCCAGGTTCCAGAAGAACAAGGCCATATCTATTGCATTCACTGTTATGTTCCATCGTTATGCCTGACACCTAGTTGTTGTTAATTGCCACCGAGTTGGCTCTGACTCATAGCAACCTTGTATAGGGTTTCCAAGGAGCGGCTGATGGGTTTGAACCACTGAATTTGTGGTTGAAACCAACCTTATAAGATTCAGTGCTTATCCTATAGCGCTAGCAATAAACACTTGTCAAATGAAGAGTTAGGAAGAGGTTCCACTGAAGCAATGTATGGAAAGCTTCTAGCACTGAAACAAACAACAACAACAATAAAAAACAGTTGCTGTGGAGCTGATCCTGACTCCTGGCAAACCCATGTGTGCCAGAGTAGAACTGTGCTCTGTAACTTTTCAATGGCAGATTTTTTGGATGTAGATCACCAGGTTTTCATTTGAAGGCACCTCCGAGTGGACTCTCCAGCTATTCAGTTCAGTATGGTGATCATTTGCACCATGTGACACATTAAACACCACAATAAATCAAGCCTGTTGCCTTAGAGTCAATTCCATATCATAGTGACCCAACAGAGCAGAGTAGAACTGTCCCGAAGGGTTATTGGACACATAAACCAAAAACCAAACCCACAGCCTTCAAGTCAATTTCAATTCATAGTGACCCTGTATAGGATTTCTGAGACTGCAAATCTTTACAGGAGCAAATAGCTCATCTTTCTCCTGCAGTGAAATTGGTCGGTTTGAACTGCAATCTTGAAGTTAGTAGTCCAGTGCTTATCCCACAGAACCACCAGGGCTCCTTGGCATCTATTGTTGTTGTGATGGTGTGCCATCAACTCAATTCTGACTCATAGAGACCATGCATAGGGTTTGTTGTTGTTGTTAAGTGCAGTCAAGTCGGTTCCAACCCATAGCAACCCTGTATAGGGTTTCTGAGAAGTGGATGGTGAGCTTGAACAGCTGACCTTGTGGTTCAAAGCGTCTTGCAGTCCAGAGCATTAACCCTATGAGAGTATAAATCTTTACAAGTGCAGAAAAGTCATCTTTCTTCCACAGAGCAGCTGGAGGATTCAAATTGCTGACCTTGAGGTTAGCAGTCTAACACATGACCCACTACACCACCAAGGCTCCTTTGACACTTTGCTGTTGATAAGTGCCCTTGAGTCGGCTCTGACTCATAGCGATTCTGTATAGGGTTTCTGAAGAGTGGCTGGTGAGTTTTAACAGCCAATCTTGCCGTTCAAACTGACCTTGCAGTCTAGTGTATTAACCCCTAGTGCCATACCAGGGCACCTCCTTTGACACACACAGGACAGAGGGCATTAATTATTGGTTACTTTTCTTACTCCTTTCCACCCAGACAATTTTCAGAAATTGGGGAGGAAAAGTATCAGGAGTTATATATAACAGTGTGGTCTTGTCATCTGTTTCCCTTTCTTCTTTATTTCAATGGTTGAAAATGAGCTGGACAAATCCTAGAATAATCTGACTCTTCTCCAGCGTGCATTCCTATGCCCCTGAGTCTACACTGGCTTGGGCAGCGTGAACACCAGAAAGTCATGGGAAGGGGGTACATGGTTCTCCAAAGATCACTGGGTGCATTTTTGGGCCCTGCCTGCCCTGTGAGTCTGGGATGTGTAGGAGAGTGGCAGGGGCGGTTCAGGCAATTCATCATCACCCTGACACACAAAAGGAAGAAGGTGGCTGGAAACAAGGAGGTAGGGGGAGTTTGGGAGGCCAGACAAAGCAAAGGCATCTTTGGAGGGCAACTGCTACTCACCTTTGACTTCCACTGATTCAACATACAAGTATTATGTGTCAACTGAAAATCAAGTATGGAAACAAAACAGATCTGTCCCCACTTGGGCAGTTCAGGCTACTAGGTAGTATTTAGAAACATCCAGGGGACAATCTCCAGCGCCAACCTCAGCCCGCCCCTCCCTCAGGAGAGCCCTGCTTGGCCTGTTTCTCCTCTGAAAGGAGGAGGCTAACCCGAGCGGGGCGATGGGTACCTGGCAGCGTCGGGCATGAGGCAGGGGGAGCACTTGATAGCGTACTCGGTCCGCCAGAGCTTGTGCCCAGCCTGGAACACCTGGCCAAAACCGCCGCTGGCCACTTGGCGCCAGTCGTCCTCGAAGTCGTCGCGGCAGAAGACAGTGAGGCTGCCCAGGCGCCGCTCCACGCCCGCGGCCATGGAGTCGGAGTGGCGGCCCTGCGCTCCCCCGCGCTGCGCTCTCCTGCGCTACGGCTGAAGCTGGGGTGACCTGAGCTACCTTCGCTTCCTGTTTCCCAGGTCCCTGGTGGGTGGGGATGGTGAGAAGAGTTGGGCCTGCCCTCCTTCCGACAGGGAAGGTGGGGGGAAACCTACACCTAAGCCCGGAGGCCCCAGGGAGAGATGGGGGAGGGAGCTGGGCCTGGGAAGAGAGGTTTGTCTCTTCACACCAACATACTTCCTAAGTCAGCCTTTGACTTGAGGGGTGGGGATGATACGAAGCAGGGGGCTGGCCACAGAGTTTGGACCCATTGTCTTTCAACCCAGTACTCATTGGAAATTGGTTTCTTTATTCATGCAACTCATATGAAATTATGTATGGCATATTTATGAGGGGTTCCAGACTGTACTAGGAGTCTGTTGTTGATTGTAGGAGCTAGAAGCCCCACCTCCTTTCAGAGAGGGTGGCGTTTCTAAAATTATAATAAGAGCTTTCTAGTCTAATCTATTGACCTGACTGGTTTAAAACTTCCTTTTCAGTGAAGTGGTTGGTTTTTTGTTTGTTTGATTTTCTTTTTGTCCTCACTTAGTATGTAATGAGGTTATGCTTAAAGATATCAGCTAGCCTTGGTGTGCTGGAAGTCACCAAGGAGGGGTCAGCAGAAGCAAAGAGGGGTGTGTGTTTAGATGACTTTCTGCAGGGAACTCCCCTTTCTGGTGTGCTCTCTCCACAAACCTCAGAGAGAGGTGGAGTCCTTGAAGGAAGCTCCAGGGAGCAGCTGGATGGTGGCCAGGGCCTCAATCTCAGGGTGGAGGGGCAGCCTGGACACAGAGGACCACAGAGTATTTTTGGGGATATCCAGGAATCTGGCCTGAGGACTCCCCACAGAGACTTAGGGAGGAGGGAGAATGTACCTAGAGGCAAGCTTGGCAACCAGACAGTCAGGAAGCTGTCTTGGTGGGGAAGGTTAGCCAGTATGGAAGAGGTCTCCCAGAGAAGTTGGCAGCATCTCAGGCTTGGACTTCCCTTTCTTTTTCAGAACTCCCTGCTTCCTTCTTCCTTCTGTCTTTAACTGCAAGTAGTGCCTTAGTCCTTGTCCTGGAAAGTCAATGAGAAGGGAAAAAGACTTCACTGGATTTGGAGTTCCTTGTGGTCCTTAGCCCATGGAGTGTGTGGAGTGACTCTCTTCCATATTAGAGGAGCACAGATCTAGGCAGACTATGTTGTTGTTATTAAGTGCCGTCGAGTCAGTTCCGACCCATAGCGACCCTGAACAGGATTTCCGAGGCTGTAAATCTTTACGGGAGCAGAAAGCTTCATCTTTCTCCCATGGAGCAGCTGGTAGTTTCGAACTGCTTACTTTGCGGTTCGCAGCCTGATTCGTAACCACTACACCAAGCACTTATAAATGGGCCTCCCCAGGGATGTTCAGGTGCAGGTGGGGCTAGGAGAACTGCTGCAGATCAGGACAGGAGAGGTTACCTCTCACCTGCTGCTGGCCTGGGTCTTGGCTGAAGTCCATGGGGAGTGCCCAGAGTGACTATCCTCATGTTTGAGGACTCCACCTCTCAGGAGAAAATCCCTAGCCTTTGGTCCAAATTGTAGAACCCTTCCTCCATGCCACAAATCTTCCAGACACCTAGGGAACAAGGTGGACATGTATAAAGGAACAGAAGACTCCAGGAGGAAGCTGGAGAACATCATAACAATTTGCCTGCAACCACGAGGGTGAATTCTGGCAAACCGATTAAGGACCTATGATTGACCAGGAGACTGTTGTCATAGGAACTAATGATAATAGCCACTACTAATTGAGACTTAACTTTGTTCCAGGAACAGTAGCTACTTAACATACTGCATGTACTTACACATATTAGTTTAAATCCACAGTAATGCTATGAGGTCAGCATCTTCCTATTTACAGAGAAGGGAACGAAGGCTTAAAGACAGCAATCAGTAGTTACATAGCTTGTAAGTGGCAGAGCTGAGATTCAAACCCAGCTCTGTTTGTTTCCTTTGAAAAAGGGATGGACATGAGAGAAGAGACAAGAGGCATGTCCCCTGGAAGAGGGGGCTGGAACATTCATCTAGACCGAGAGATCCACCCCAAAGGCAAAGTCAGAAGGAGTTTCCAGTGCCCTAAGAGAGAAAGAACTGACAACCCTTGGATCAGCCCTATCTACCTCTTATTTGTCTCAACTTTTCCCTAGGGAAGTTTGGAAGATGTTAGTGAACATTAATATCAAGGAAATTGGGTGAAGAAGAAACCTCTCATTGGGTATGTGGGCATGCAGATTGGGAAGGTGAATGGGGCACTGTCCCTGGACAGATTGTCTCAGGCCCAGATCCCCAACATTCCTCAGGCTACTGGGGGAAACACCAGGGAAAGTCTAATGATGGAATGGCCTCAATCCATTTAGGAAATTCCCTTTGGCCTAGTTACACCTAGACAGCTCTCCAGGGAGAGAAAGAAATCCGAAGCTGCACAGACTCACCCAGGAACATTGAAGAAAGCATCATTTCTGGAGAAAGGCTCAAGGCAGGCCTCCAGGATTCCAAATAAAACACATCTGAGAGTTTTTCTACAGGAATGGAGGTGGCAGGACACACAGGACCCAGGGTGTGTTACTTCTGAACCGCCTGTTGAAGCAGGCAAGCTGTGGATTCAGGAAGTCCTGAAGTTTCTGAGGAATCTGGAAAATGGAGGGATTCTTGTCTGCAGAGAGATGTATAGTCTTTCCTCCATCCCTTAGCCTCTGATTCAGCCAACCTTGGATCAAAATTAATAGAAGGGGGGAAAAAGTGATTAAGTGATTACAGAATCCCTCAAAGGCTAAGAGGGAGTATAAAGTGCCAGTTACACAGAATTTGCGTTGCTTTGGATATTATAAGTAATCTGTTGTTGTTGTTGCTGTTGTTGTTAAGTGCAGTAGAGTCAGTTCTGACCCACAGTTCTGACCCTGTATAGAGTTTCTGAGGAGCAGCAGGTGAGCTTCAACCACTGACCTTGCACTTTGCAATCCAGCACACTAACCCACAGCTGAATTAAAGAACATGCACAAGTTATATGCAAATACTATGCCATTTTATCCACCCCTAGTCTGTCAGTTTCTTATTTTGTGGTGGCTTGCCTGTTACTGTAATGTTAAAAGCAACACCACTGACATTTTAAATACCAGCAGGATTTAAGCAGAGCTTCCAGAAGGTGAGGCAGACTACTTCTGAATGTTTCGCCACTGAAAACCTTATGAATAGCAGTGGAATAGCAAGGAAAAGCACTCGACCACAAGATCAGTTTGAACCACAAAGTCAACAGTTCAAATCTACCAGACACTCCTCAGAAACCCTATGGGTTCAACGTAAGAGCCAGCAAGTCAGTCAGCCCTCACTATGAGTCAGAACAGATTCGATGGCACTTAACAACAACAACAACATTGTCAGATATAGTGATGAAAGATGAAAACATTATGAATAGTACCAGATTATTGTCATATAGTTTCAGAAGATGAGTCCCTCAGTTGGAAGGCACTCAAAACATGACTAGGGAATAGCTGACCCCTCAAAGTAGACTTCACCATGATGAAGTGAATGAAACAAAGCTTTGGGGACCTTCATTTGCTGATGTGACACAAATCAAAATGAGGAGAGGCATCTGTAAATGTCTGTTAATAATCAGAACATGGAATGTATGAAGTATGAATCTAAGGAAATTGAAAGTCTACAAAAATGAAATGGAACACATAAAGATTGATATCCTAGGCATCAGTGAGCTGAAATGGACTTGTATTGGCCATTTTGAACCTGACAATCATATTATTTACCATTCCAGGAATGACAAATTGAAAAGGAATGGCATAGCATTTATCATCAAAAAGAACATTTCAAGATCTGTCTTAAAGTACAGTGCTGACTATGATAGGATAATATCCATATGCCTACAAGGAAGAACAATTAATACCATTACTATTCAAATATATGCATCAGTGATGATGAAATTCTCCCAACTTATATCAACTGGAGACCAGGCATGGTGCTGTGGATTAATGCACTGGACTGCAAAGTCAGTTTGAACAGCAAGGTCAGTTGTTCAAGCTCACCAGTTGCTCCTTGGAAACCCTATACAGGGTCGCTATGGATTGGAACCAATTCTACGGCACTTAACAACAGCAACACCAATTTCTACAGTCTGAAATTGATCAAACATGCAATCAAGTTGTATTGATGGTTACTGGTGATTGGATATGAAGGTAAGAAACAAAGAAGGGTCAGTAGTTGGGAAATATGGCTTTGGTGATAGAACTGATGCTGGAGACCTTATGATAGAATTCAGCAAGACCACTGACTCATTCATTGCAAATACCTTTAAACAACATAAACACATAGACCTCACCAGATGAAATGCACAGGAATCAAATTGACTGCATCTTTGGGAAGAGATGGTGGAAAAGCTCAGTCAGTATCATCAGCCAAACAAGGTCAGACTCCTACTGTGTAACCAGACCATCAGTTGTTCATATGCAAGTTCAGGCTAAAGCGAAAGAAACTAAAACAAGTCTGTGAGCACCAAAATACAACCTTGAGCTTATCCCACCTGAATTTAGAGATCATCTCATGAATGGATTTGATGCTTTAGACTAATGACTGAAGAACAGAAGAGCTTTGGGATGACATCAAGAACCTCTTACAGGAAGAAAGCAAAAGGCCATTTAAAAACAGGAAAGAAAAAGTCAAAATGGATGTCAGAATAGATTCTGAAACTTGCTGTCCAGCATCTAGAAGCTAAAGCAAATGGAAGAAATGAGGAAGTCAAAGAACTGACCAGAAAACGTCACCCACAGACCAGCAAACTGGCAGAGCAGTTCCACAATACTCTGGAAGATGTTGAAATTTCACATGAACCTGTTCCCAAACTGGAATGACAGGCTAACCTGTCAGTTATTTGCATACAGGGGAGGAGTTCCCTAATCTGCCCCATTCGCTA